GTTAGCACAACTAATCAAATCCGAGAGCACAACCGAAGATAAAGTAGCACAGACCCCATCGGTTGAGCACTTGAAGAACACCCATCCGAGATGTTCTGGCGTTGTAGACACGCGGCGCAAGACCTTCTTTGAGCAGTCGTCGCACTTAATGAGTGGCAACGGTGTGCCGACGAGCTTTTGGGCCAGCGCCGAGCCCGGCCTACTGTCATTCATGTATCTGCCGGTGGACCACTGATGGTGTAGATCCGAGCGGCTAGAGGAGGAGCCAGTACCTGCATGTGGCCTTGTGACCTTGTCGGGGCCTTCCGTCCCAGTGCCCAACCAGTCCATGGCATGGCGCAGCCTCCCACAGCCGGGCGAGCTCAAGCTCGATCGGATCCGCTCCAAATCCGGCCGCCGGGTGCGCAAAGCACGGTGGTCGTGGTCGGGTAGCTCGGGGCATCGAGGGAGAGGGGGCTGGGCAAGCGCGCGTCCGAGCTGCACAACAGCATTGGCAGCACGCGGCGGCGGCGAGGGTCAAGAGTGGAGAAGAGTGGAGGGGTGCGGCTGGAGAGGGAGGGGGCGGATAGAAAAAGGGACCCGTATGCCACCGACGGGCGGCCTAGGGGAGGACAAGCGCACACGGCCCACCCTAAAAGTGGCCCAAAGTTGGGTCGGGAATGAGTCGAAAGCGGACATAAAACAGACAAAAGTCTGTTTGCGTCCGCGCGCTGGACCGTCTGATATGTCCGTTTTACCCTAAACGGACACACCCGGACACGATGGGGTCGTGCGCTGGAGTTGGCCTTAGGACGAGGGGAAAGACAGTACATTTACAGTTTTGCTGAATCTCAGTTGACTTACACTTCGTTATGTCTCAGTCGATGCTATATTCCTTTGATCTTGCATGAAGGTTCATATAAAATTTTTCTTTTCAGTTTTTCTTTTTCTTCTTACATACTAAATCACACGAATGAGACTTGGTTAAGTCTCAGTCGACTAACATTTGGTTAAGTCTCAGTCGATTAAGACCTAGACACACCTATACATTTATTCAAAAAATGTCTCACATTATGGGACAGAAGGAGTACTATAGATGAAAGAAAAGAAAAATATGTTTTTGGTCTCTTAAATTTTAAAAAGTAGACATGTGAGGAGAACGACATTGTGGAGCACCCATGGAGGCCATTTTTTTAATTCAAAATTCATGTCTTTTTGTTTTAAAAAATCTGAAAAAATTGTGCAAGTACACAAGGATGTGATCTGCATGTGTGTAAAATTTCAAAACAAAATACCTTTAAAATTTGATGTGTTTAAAAAGAACATTTTTTGGATTTTTGAAATAAATAGTATGATTCGACTCAAACATTTCCGTCTTCTACCGCTGCGCTTTCGGGGGCCACCACGACACGATGTACGCGCACTCACTCCATCAGTTCTACCGTGACTGCCGCATCACTGGCACCGTCGACTTCGTCTTCGGCGACGCCGCCGGCGTCTTCCGGAATTGTCACCGCCTGGCCCGTGCCCCGCTCCCGGGCTAGAAGAACTTTGTCACGGCCCAGGGACTCGTAATTGGCTCCAGGAAGAGTGGCTTCGTCGTCTTCCAGTTCTGCAACATCTTCGCGCACGACGACCTCCTGCGCGCGCAGGACAACTAAACCAGCAGTCTCGGTCCAACAAATATTGGACCTTAGTGCGAATTAAATAAATATCAATAGGTATACTAAAATTAATACTTATTAATTTATAAGTCATTTTTTCAAACTCACAATGATTGCTAATTTGAAGATAAATTTATACATTTTTGTAATTAAAATACAATATCTTAATAAAATACACCTTAAAACATGTTTAAATCTATTAAACTTGATGTGATAATAAGAAATGACAAAATTCCATGTCTCCTTCGATTTATTTGCGAATCTTGTTTTAGTGTAGCATATATGTATGTGTGTGTCGTTCTTAATAAGTGTGTGGTATACAAATATATCTTGATAATAGACTTTACAATTAGATATTTGCAAATACAAAAATCTGGAGTATACTAATGTTTATGAGGAGTTTGTTTCCTAATAATTGGCATATGTTGCTTTTTTTGGGTCAAATATGTGGAACACGATATGGCGAAGGCGAGGAATATGAAGTTGGTTTTATGTCTTTTTGAACAACTATCAGATTTGAAAATCAATTTTAATAAGAGTGAATTATTCTGGTTTGGGCGCGCCAAAGAAGAACAAGATAATTATAGACAGTTGTTTGGGTGTGAGTTGGGAGCTCTCCCATTTAGATGTCTGGAAATACCAATTCATCACCGAAAGCTAAGCAATAAAGAATGAGAATACATTACGGATTGATTTAAGAAAAAAAATGGAGTTGTTGGAAGGGCAATCTTATGTCTTACAGGGGACAACTTATTCTCGTTAACTCCATGCTGATGAGTATATCGATGGTCCTTTTGTCTTTCTTAGAAGTACCTGTTAGGGTACAGAAAAAATTAGACTTTTATCGATCATGTTTTTTCTGGCAAAGCGACAGAATAAATCTAAATACAGGTTGGCTAAATGAGAAATAATCTATAAACTGAAGGACCAAGAGGGCCTAGGAATTGAAAACCTTGAGGTAAAGAATAGATGCCTACCTAGCAAATGGTTGTACAGACTATCGGTGGAGAACGAGGGAGTGTGTATACAATTGTTGCATAATAAGTACTTACATTCCAAAACACTCGCAAGTAACGGCCCAGCCGAATGATTCATTATTCTGGAAGGGATTTATGTGTACAAAGTTAGCCTATTTCAATAGGACCAAATTAATTGTTGGGAAGGGTAGTACCACTAGGTTTTGGGAGGACACATGGCTAGGGGACAAGCCACTGGCCATTCAATATCCTACTCTCTACAATATTGTACAATGGAAAGAGGCTTTCACGAGTATAGTTTTAGGATCAGTTCCCTTAAACATTCAGTTTAGAAGATCACTTGTGGGTGAACGGTGGGATAGATGACTACATCTCATGTGTAGGTTGATGGAGATTAGCCTATTAGATATAAGCCGGATACACTATGCTGGAGACTGTCGGAATCAGGAGTATTCTCAGTAAAGTCAATGTATATTGATTTAAATACTGGACCAATCCCAAATCGCTACACATTTGAAAATTTAAGGTGCCTCTAAAGATAAAAAAATTTATGAGGTTTGTTCACAAGAAAGTGATCTTGATAATAGACAACCTGGCAAAACATTGTTGGGAGGGTAGCAAACGGTGTAGTTTTATGATCTTGACCAATCGATTCAACATCTGTTCATTCAATGCTCATTGGCCAAATTATTGTGGCGTACAGTGTACGTGGCCTTTAAATGTTGGTTCACCTAATAACATAACATTTTATTTGGGACTTGGCTTAATGGGGTGGAGCCTAAACTAATGGTGCACATTTGAGACAGAGTGTGCACATTACTTTGGGCAATATGGACCGAAACGACATCATTTTTAAAAGATATAACATTATCAATTTTTTGCAGGTCATCTACAGAGCAACTTACTCGATCCATACGTGGTCATTACTCAGTCGTGCAGAAGCCAAGAAGCATATGGCTTATGGGTGCAACCGTTGTACGTGATACTTACAACTGGTTGAATGGTGGTCCAGCAATAGGATAGGTATATAAGCATCAAGTCTTATTTATGCCGGTTGTGGCCTTGTGTATCTTTTATTTCTTTTTCAAGACTTTGTACCACACTTCGTATTTTTTGCAGGCTTTTTTTGATAATATGGTTGCATATGATGCAGAGTCCTGTGGGCAATTCTCCTTTAAAAAATATAGTTTTTGCCCCGAGGAGGTGAGACGCCACTAGGTTGGCTACCCTGCATTCAGAACTTCGGGTTAGACGACAGTGACTGGCCGAGCTACACAAAATGCTTACATACTCTACGCATGGACGACTTGATGTGTATAATCATGCGAAAATCTTCCAAAATCCGCCGTGTGTGTAGCAGCACTCCCCTGCATTTCTTACCAGCTCATACAACTCATGCATCCACCCGCTTACAGAACTCCTCTCAAACTTTGTCACTTATGGTCCAACTATATGCAAAAGATTGAACAATGGAACAAGAATATTTGTGTTGCAGAGAAAATGCATGTACGCCAAAGAGCTATAGATAACAGAGTGAAGGCAGATATAATAAACTGTGGATGAGATATGTCGGGTGGTGGGGTTTTTTCCATTGCAACGGACGAGCTTGTTTACTAGTCTATTTAAAAAGTACAGTATGATAGAGCACACATCACGGCAATGCTAAACGGAGGCTGAGCTCCATGAAGTCCTTTATTTTCAAAATTAAAAAATCTCAGTGTGAAGTTTAATTTTTTTTAAAAAAAATCACACGTGTTGATACGGATGTACAATACATGTCTGTAAAAATTGATGATGATATACATTATGATGAGAGCAACACAAAAAAGAGAAAATTGCGATTTTGAAATGATGAAGAGTATGTGCACTGTTCACTATAAAAAATGCATGAATTTGTCTTTTTTGTTTAGCTTGGATCATAATGCATATTATCTTCAATTTTTACACACACATAATATACTGTACATCCGTACAAACATGTGTGACTTTTTTGAAACTTCAAAATGAGATTTTCAAAAAATTAAAAATAATGATGTCCATGGAGCTCGGCCTCCAAAATGCCCCACTCCATACATTAGTGTTTTAACTAGCGGCGGACCTCCAAATTAGTTATAGCGACACATTTGTACATGAGACCATTTAGCAGCACGGTATCATGCTGAAAAGGCTACAGCAAGCCTAAAGCAAGGCCATTTAGCGGCACGGCATACATACATAAATCCCCCCTAATCGCCCACACACACGCCCCTGAATTTCGATGTGAAGCCTGCGATCATAACCAACCAAAAGATGCCACGTCACATCATAGAGTGGGCAGCGATAGGAAGTCCTATCCTGTCCCGAAAATGCTCTGTTCTTCTAGTTTCAGCTCGAATTTTGTTCACTCTGTAGCGAGTTTTACAGTCCGGTGTTGGTCATCGTCGTCGGCTGATCTCTCAGCTAGTATCTTCTTGACCTTGGCATCATCAAGGTAGTGCTGGTAGATGTAGGACAAGAAGCCCCAGACGGCAACGAGCATGGCCAGCACCTTCACCCCGTCCATCCGGTCGCCGAGGAAGATGACGGCGATGATGGGCGACAGCGGCAGCCCCACAGTGCTGATCACGTTGGTGAAGAGCGACGACACGGCCGCGACGAGCCCCATCAGGCCCATGGTGGTCAGCTGCCACGATATGGCCGTCCAGGCCAGCGTCATCCCGTAGGCCACCCTGCCCTGCCTGTACCCGTCCATCTCGCCGTGCAGGGCGCTCCACTCCCCGGAGATGAACAACCCGGCCACCGACACCACGGCCGCGGCGGTGTTGCTCCAGAACTGCATCTCCATCACGTCGTGGAAGGTGTCGCTCCTGAGCACCTTGTCGAATGTCAGCTGCATCAGGGACAGGATGAGGGAGAAGAGCGCCGACGCCGTCAGCGTCAGCGCGAACCCCAGCGGGAACTTCCCCGGCGGGACGCTGCTGTTGGTCCCGTCCGAGCCGTGGCTGACACCGACCAGCGCCGCGGAGAAGGTGAGCAGCACGACGGAGTTGAGGATGAGCGCGGTGAACCTCTGCTTGTTGAGGAAGTAGGAGAAGACGGCGTTGAAGGAGAGCTGCGTCGCGCAGACGAGCGAGTAGGTCGACAGCGGCAGGTAGAGCAGCGCGTAGGAGTACATCAGGTTGTCGCCGGCGAGGAGGACCCCCAGGCCGGCGTAGATGGCCGAGATCTTGAGGAGCGGCGGGCGCGTCACCGCGGTCGCGGTGGCCTTTGGGCGGCGCCGGAAGTAGAGGAGCAGCGGGATGGCGAGCGGCGTGCCGCAGGACTGAACCACCGTGGCGATCCACAAGCTGCCGCCGCCCTGGTCGTAGTAGATCCTGCCGAGGAGGTTCGCCACGCTCTGCCCGGCGAGCACGAGCACGACGTTGACGAGCACCACCGCCCACCATTGTACGCGCTCCGACACCGACGTTGGCGCCGGGGACGTGCCATTGCCAGCTACGCCTTGAGCTTCTTCTTCGCCTCGTGTACCTGCATCGCCGGCCGATTAGTCCGGCAAATGGATCCAGCGGCCTACAACCACAAGAAAATTCCAGCATCAAGAATTCAAGATGAGGGCGAGAGGGACCTGCAATCTGAAGATGAATTTCACCCGCATCGCCCATATCCGCAGAGAGTTCTCTGTATCCTGCAAACCCGAAGTGCCGAAAAGGATGTGCAGCAAGATAGCAGCTGGAGCAGGGGAATAATCCTAATCTGATCCAATTGCGCACGGATGCGTGTCGTCTTCGTCCTCCTCTCGTTGAAATCGGGGACCACCGTCGATCGAGTAATAAGGGGGACAACAATGGCGCTAGCTAGCTAGCTAGGGTCTAAATCTGCGGTCAACATTAGCTTGACTTAGCTCAGCACCGCACCGTTGCGCGACGCCTCTGCCGTGAGTCAATTTTCCCGGCCTCTTGGAGGAAAAAGAATCCAGACGGCGCCAGCGTTGAGCAATGGAGCCGTTGATCGTTTGGTGAATCCACACGAGAATCAAAAAATATCTCTAGTTTAACGATATCTTACAGTATCTCAATTTCAAATCTAAGTATGCGAGATTTTGCTCTCCCCAGGTGATCGTGACCACTTGTGATGGTCAGGCATGTGAGGCCAACTCCATCACGCGGCCCCAAACGGAAGTCCGGATTGACCGGATTTTGTCCCTTTGAGGCGCCGATGAGTTCGCCCGTGTCTGGCTTTGTCAGATGGGTCGTACGTACGCCCACCGCGCGGCCGCACCATAAATCGTGTTCAGGGTGGACGTGAATAAAAAATATATAAAAACTAGAATGAAATAACTAAAAAAGTAAATAAACACATTTAAAAAACATAAAACATATATAGGGGTCGGCCACAAAACGGCCTAGTTTCCACGGCCACTTAAAAGGCCCAGTTTCATAATTAACATATAAAAACAAAATAAAAAAACGCCTCCTGCGTGCTCCTGCCACGCCCGTCGATGCCGTGGCAGTCGCCGTTTTCACTGGCCGCCGGTGTCGTCGTCGTCGCTGACGAGGTCGACGTAGGCCGGCGGCGTCCACAGGTGGGCCGGCGATGCGTGGTAGACGGGGGCGGGCTGGACGGCCGGAGGTGCCGGCACCACCTCCTCCCGTGGCGACGCCTCCCGCTCCTGTCACCGCGGCGGAGTGGGGCACCAGTTCACGCCCACGCCGGCGGCCATCTCCGGAGCAGTGCAGGACCAGCCCCACCCCTGGCCCAGCAGCTGCTGGTGTTGGTGAACGTAGCAGAAATCCAAAATTTTCCTACGTGTCACCAAGATCTATCTATGGAGAAACCAGCAACGAGGGGAAGGAGAGTGCATCTACATACCCTTGTAGATCGCTAAGCGGAAGCGTTCAAGAGAACAGGGTTGAAGGAGTCGTACTCGTCGTGATCCAAATCACGGAGATCCTAGTGCCGAACGGACGACACCTCCGCGTTCAACACACGTACAGCCCGGTGACGTCTCCCATGCCTTGATCCAGCAAGAAGAGAGGGAGAGGTTGAGGAAGACTCCATCCAGCAGCAGCACAACGGCGTGGTGGTGGTGGAGGAGTGTGGTACTCCAGCAGGGCTTCGCCAAGCACCGCAAGAGACGAGGAGGGAGAGGGGTAGGGCTGCGCCAAGAAGGAGAGGAACTCGTGTGTCTTGGGCAGCCCAAACCTCAAGTATA